GGAATTTCTACCATATCTTTAACTTCGTTAATTGCAGCGTCATTGTCCAAGCCAACGCCAATAGCAAAAACATCCATATTTCTATTGAAGAAAGGTTTCATAGCTTCTCCAACATAGACAAAACCCCTTCGAACTGATTCTTTAGTCTGTTCTCCATCTGTAACAACCATGATCATTTTCTTTACAGCAGGATCATCTTCACGATATCCTGCTTGCTTAATAGCGATCTCTTTATCAGCAATTGCTAAACCACGATGTGTTTTTGTTCGACCTTGTAACAATGGACCAGGCATCCTATCAACTACATCGTAGAATTTGTTTGCGTCTTGGCTTTCTGCTAATGTTATTCTTTTCTTGCCTTCTTCACTAAACGTAACTATGGCGGCCTGTCCAATAAGCTCGCCTGCTTCATTTCTTTCACCAACTTTCAATTCTTTTGCAATTTCCTTGACAAATTCACGCATTTTGTCGAAATCTCCGGGCGCTATACTTCCCGATCTGTCGAGTACAAAGATGAGGTCTGTTTTTGGTTTGCATGGCGCTGCAAAAAAATGAGAGCAACAACAATTATTTCCTGTGGCATTCGAAAATTAACAGTCCTGTGCCATTAAAGCAAGCTCGTGATGGACGGAGAAGAAAATATCGACTTTAAGTTTTGCGAGAGAATTGAAAAGCATAGAAACTACGTTTGCGGATTATTTCATATTGTGTAAAGCCTACCTGACTTATCATTATCTTTAATGATCACAGTTGCAGGTTCACCAACTGTTACCCCAGGTGAGGAAGATGACATGGTGACTGTAAATTCTTCTTTGGATTCAACAACATCATCATCTATGATGTTAATGGGGATCGACTTTGGACCAGTCTCGCCCGGTTCAAAAGTGACATCCACGGTTTGAGGAACAAAATCATCATCTCCAGCTGTCTTTGCACTTGGAGTAACACTGTTAAAGAAAGTAAACTTGTATTATGACAAGTACTTTTTATGGTAATTTGTTTTCCTAACAATGGCCATTTTCCGAGATCGTTGGAAAGTACAGTCTCTAAATAGAATTATGAGTAAGTTACAAAGGAAAGAAAAAGACCGTATGCAGCAAATATGTAGAGAATGCAGTTTAGAAACGATGACAGACATATTCGCATATTCATGGGATATATTCACGTCCAGGGTGGGAGGGGTTCCATAACCCGTCATCCGCTTTTATTTTTTACTGAATTAATGCGGGTTCCGAAATATTTGTTTTATTTTTCAAAATATTGATGTATATGAAAATCTGATTTAACGGTTTCACGTATAATTCTGTCTTGTATTTTATACCTGTTTCCCACATTTTTTTCTCGTCGTGTCAGGGCCCGGAAAATACGTTCGAAACGCAAACGGTATAATTTGGTAGAAAGATGTATCTTTGTAGAATTTCCTTACCTTATAGTTATCGGTTCACTTATATTCCCTGCACTAACGATAATTTCGGGTAAAGCTGGCTCACCCTCTTTGCCACTGTAAGTTTTCTTTGTAAAATTGACGGTTACACCTAGAGCAAAAAATTAACAAGTCGTCAATTGAATGTACAAACGTTGTAATACCTGGAACAATATAATTTGGGTGATGCGGTCTGTACATATAGACGGCAACGCGAGGACGTCAGCCAAACAAACGCTTACAATTCAATGATTGTTTGGAAACACAATCTGTTTCGTCTGATACGAAATGACAACTGCATGGACTCTGTGGTTTGCATGAGCACCGCACCGGAATCACAGGGCTGCAGGTTCGATTTCTGTCACAGGTTGCATTTACCGCAGCTGCTCCCAGTCAGATCTATAATATGTATATAATCTTCGCCCAAATACTTCATATTAGCTTGCCTATAAAGGCATGAACAGGATCTTCAGCAGAATGTATTTAATTTTTTCGGTTGGTTATTTTTCGTCAGGCCTAGAAAATATATTTCTCTTCCTGGCAGCAAAATCCAAAAATAAAAATTTCCTGTGTAAGTCGAATATAAAACTTCCTGCATATGTAGATTTCAGAGAACGTATATGGTGCAACACATTGTGATAAACTTAAATCTTGGCACAAGACAATCTCGACTTGCAAAATGCTTTTGGAAGTTTTAAGCAATAAGTAAATTATATGGCATCCCAGTATATATATATATATATATATATATATATATATATATATATATATATATATATATATATATATATATATATATATATATATATATATATATATATATATATATATATATATATATATAGCCTGCGAACAGGCTCTCAAGCTGAATTGAGAGCCTGCATCGATGACTAATGAATTTGAATATCTGCGTCTCAAATCGTGACGCGAAATTCTCATTGGCCAGATGCTATAATTTATATGTTTCCGCTGAGCTCTATATATGTCAACTGCTGAAGCACTATGCATAAAAAACACATTAACTGATCAAATTGGTCTTGGCCATCTTATCTCAAAGCACGAAATGTTCTGTTTTGAGAAAACAGTATTTAAAACATTTGAACTTTTGCTTGAACATCTTATATTTCGAAAAACAGTATAAACTGTACGGTCTAAATTTAGTTTGCACGAAAGTTGTAAACAACACCATATAAGGATAGACATTCCATATTTGGAAAAACGAACGTTACGGGGCAGATATTCAAATTTATTAGTCATGGATGCAGGCTCTCAATTCAGCTTGAGAGCCTGTTCGCAGGCTACACCGGTATATACTCTACTTACCAGGTGGTTTACTAGGTTCCTCATCTTTATATTGTGCACCATAAGGTTTAGGGATCGGCGGAGGTTTCTTCTTCCCACCATCTGGTGCATCAACGTTATCCTTTGACTTTGAATATGGCTTCGGCATAGGTGGAGGTTTCTTTCGTGTTTGATGCGAACTGTTATCTACTTGCGCATACGTATCAGCATGTGCGTCGTGAGTTGAATGCTGCATGTCTGCATTAAATGCTGCTAAAGCGTTATTCCCTCCACCGCTGTCGTTTGATTTCACCAAAATATTTTCAGGATTAATTTTGTCAAAATTTCCGCTAGGAATAGTAACCTCTTCGTACGCTAACAACTCATTCTGTGGGACGTTCGCTGGTGTGGGTGAATCGGGTTTACTACCTTCGATAATTGCAGTACTGAAAGCTCCTTCGTCAGTTACCTGTAAAGGTCGAAACTCTATACCAGCATAAGCATACACAGATTTCACTGGTTTGTTCTGGTTATGATCAGATCCTGCTTGACTTTTGTCGTGACTTAAATCTCCATGAGGTTTATCTACAAAATCAAGTAGTGTAATTTATCTTTATTAAATAATTAAGACCAGATTCAAACGCGATAACAGTGATTCAAATGGCGTACAAAATATTATTTTATTGCCAAGGGTGCATGGGACGCATTCGCGCGAGAATTCTAAATCGCTATTCTAATCCCAACATAAAATTTTATAAATAGGTTTGGCAAACCAGCTTGAAAAACCAACACGCGCATGTTTTTGGAACTATTGTCTTACGAATAAACATACGTTGAAAATGACACATTTCGAATCTGGCGAACAACTAAGACAAAAAATACTGCATGCTGTAATATGCCAAATGCTATTTTCATAATCCAGCACGATCATATCCGAAGTTAGCAATTTGAAAATTAAATTTAAACATTTGTAGTATAGCCAAACCGCAACCCATATTGACGAATCGCATATAACAT